CATCAATAGCCTGATGACTGCTCACTAGAGTCAATGAGAATTTTTCTACTGACTTAAAATAAGGCTATAATTGACTATTCCATCTGATATGAAAACATTAAACATTCAAATTAATAATAATGAAATAGCTTGAATTTTTCTTTTTCGGTATTATAGACAGGACGCTGATCTAAGGGGGAAAAAAAATTAGTTATTTACTATCTAGTAAATATGGTAGTAAGCACTTTAGATAACGTTATCAGTATGGATCCTATCAGGGACACACGCATCACATCATCACGACGACCACACTTTCTCTATGCCAAGGAACAAGATGCATTAAATCACAAATCAGAATACTTTAAGTCTGATTACGACAGTGACCATATGTTACGCGAGAGGTTCAGTACTACTGCCTGCGGTCACCACTCGGGGACTTCTGACAGCGAAGGTATCATCTTTTCTGGGCAGCAAATGTCAGTAGTTGGTCATTCATTACAGACGGGATTTTACTGAAACAGCTTTATCTGAAGATGACCTTATTCAGTTTAAGTTTATTAATGTTAACGTCAAGTTTAATTAAAATTAAACTTAATAATTAATCCATAACTTTAACTTATGGAAAGTCAAATCATGCTGGACCCAGCACCCAACTGCTTTATGCATTTGGAGGGGGGGGTGGAAAGGGGGACAGAGGGGAGAAAAACTCAAATACCAGAAAAACTCTCATTTCAAAGTGCCAAATCACATGAAATAAAGACCCCCTCTGAAGTCACTGACAGCTACCAGATTAAAATACAAAAGAAAATCAACTATCTTCACAAAGGACACCTGAAACGTCCTGCGATACTTTTCATGTTATCTCCTCTTCCGAGGACCCTTCAGATCTGGGAAGGAGCAGGCTACAGGTTGCATTAACTATAATAATTACCTGCAGCCCATTCTTTACTCATGCCCCTTGTCTTGGCTTTTAAAAGACTTCATGCATTATCAAATAAAACAATTAGACAACAATGCCTGCCTTACCAGATTATCAAGCATTCGCATAAGAGCTTCAAATTCCTGTTCGCCAATCTGCCATTTTGGATGGGACCCAGTACCCTCACCTGCTGGAGACTCAGGGGAACGAGACTTGGCTTTATACTTTCCAGGATCTAAAAGCACTAAATTCTCAGGTCCACCTGCGCTGGCCAGGGTACGTACCTTAAAAACAATTAAGTCATCTTTCAGTTTTTCCAGTAAAAGAGTCGTCAATAAACTAGAAGAAATGACTCCAAGTTAATGCTAAATAAGTCAACATACGTGTATAAAAATTGCTTTAATTCTTTGAAAGCATGTCTGTTTTAATAGGTAGTTTATGCTATTTTGGAAGTTTTCACATAATACAGTGATTTCACAAATCACTGGGTTAATTTAGATCAAGAGTTCAATCAGTAGAGCATACAACTATTCATCTGTTTGAAAGTTAATGTAACAGACTACATTATTATATAACATACTAAAATTCTTACTTGAATCTCACAGGCAAGCACTAGATTATGAATATAGTAGAAAGCCTCCTCAACAGTCTCTCCAACTGATACCAAGCCATGGTTTCTGAGAATAAGGACCTAGAGAGACATTGCAAATAAAGTTAACTGCAATAAGGCAAGTATTTACAATGAATTAAATGTGTATCCATCCCATCTTGTCCTGATTAAAGAACATCCTCCCCTCCACCAGCATGCACTTTTCTTGAATTCCATCTGCAACTACTGACCTTGCTTTTAGGTCCCAAATTTTTCTGAATGAGCACCTTTTCTTCATCATCCACTAAAATACCGTGGTAGTCATGATAAGCTACTTCTCCCAGGGAAAGTGCTTCAGGTGAAATTGGCAAGAGACCACACTTCATTGCAGATACCTGAGAAATATTAGAAGAACTAACTCAAATTTTGCAAAAGTAACAAATCAAAAGTGATAATAAGAGCACATTCTGGAAAACTACCGCTATAAACTTTGCCGTTCTTATACTCCTTCTAGCTACTGTTCGCAGCTTTTGGATAGGACACAGAAGTCGCATTGATCTTGAGTCTGACTCCCTATGGCTGCTTTGACATGACATCAACACAAATATGAAAAGCCTCTGTCAAAAATCAACCAGATCCTTCATTCCTTTCACTCCATCGAGTGACTCTTTTTTTCAAGTACAAGGAATTGAGTGACAAACTTTTACACAGGTAATTCCACAGCACTGCAGGTAAAATCAAGAACGGTGTTAAAGACGCAAACTTTCCGACACTACTCTATATAGAGTTCCTAATTTTAGGAATCTTATCATTTAACCTTGAAATGGTTGTATTGCTGCTGTGAATTAGTTAAAACAAAACCAAAACAAAACAAGAGCCCCCCCCTCCAAATAAAACCCCACAAATGGAAAAACTACTCTGAAGTATCCAAGAAACTTGGTCACCAGATGACTGTGGATAAAAAATCCAAAAGGGTACAGCTGATTTGTAACCAGTTGCTTTTACGAGATACATTTACCCAGGTGTCTATTAAAACCGGATACACGTGTGCATCTGCAACATTTTTCAGATGAGTACTGAAGCCTGTCTGAGGCCGATTTTGGCTGTGCTGCCAGTGCCTTTTGTACTCAGGCCACAGCAAGTTTTCAAACATTTAAGAAAAACTTGATAAATTGTGCCTTACTAGACAAAATGGTAAAGCTCTTACGATTGGCTGTCAGAAGATAGCATTTGTTGTTATAACAGTCAAACACATCTGAAATACATGCTTTCCAACAAGGAAGCAAACCAATGATTAAGGGGGATCACTTACTTTTCAGCTGTGGGTGGGGGGTAAAAAGCGTACTTACCGCTGCTCCTGCTGGTGTATGAATATGAACAATGCATTTAACATCAGGTCGAGCTGCATAAATTGCGGAGTGCAAAGTAAAGCCAGCTTGGTTTACTCCCAAATTAGTGCTTCCACGATCAACTACATCTCCTTGAATATTAATTTTAACCTGACAATGAAAATAACTAGTTTAATAATTAATCCAAAACTGCCAGAAATCTGATGTAATTCAACATCTACCACGGAAGCTCTAAAACCACATTTTTTTTCTAGTATTTTAACAAGTGTCAAAACATGTATGATAAGGCTCTAGGCAGATGATCACAGCAGGGGCCTGAGACTAAGCTAACTGAGCAGGACACAAGAAACTACTAGATACAAGGTCAAAAAAATCGCTGCATGTAACAGGTAACAGTGTGAAATGCTGACAAAGGTTACAGATAGTGCTGTGAGGAACGGCTGGATTTCACCGATCTTTAAGGCAGAGTTTATGTAAGAAACAGCCAAACTTTACAGACACCTGAAGAGGAGTATGGAGACCTTTTGTGGAGCAGATTCTTGCAAGGCCAACAGCACCTAGGTAACCATATCAGTGATACTTTATAAGGTTGATGGCCTAGGTAAGGGAATCAGAAATACCAAATTTGGGTATGGACATAGCAAGATTGGGAATAAAAGGGAAAAAGGAATTACGAGAAGGTTGTTTATGTGGAAGGGTACAAGGCTGGTGAAAGTAAGGGGTCAAGGTGGAGAAGGCAAAAACAAGCATTGGGAAAAACAGAGAAAAAGGGAGGATCAAAAGGGCCAGTCACGTGTAAGCAGGCTGCTGGTCAGCATGCTTGTCCAGATAAGCTCTGCTCCTTGTCACAGCAGTCTATCTTCTTACTAAACCCTACCGCAAGCGTGCTCTTTGTTCTCTTTGTGCACATGTATTTTGCTAGCAAACTTCAAGTCAAACTAGCTGCTGAGTAGCAACAGGCCAGAATCCAGAAAGACCTAAGGTCTGGATAAGAGTTGGGGCATGGATACTGGACAGACTTAAAGACTAGGCCAAAGTCTGAGGGACCTGTGAATATGAGTATGCAGAAGTTAAATTAGCAGGGCTTTGTGTACGTTCCACCAACGAGCTTTAAAGCCTGATTAGCCGGGGAGCAGGAACAGGATCAGGCTGTTTGTGTTGCTCGTGTTTAAGCAAGTGCTCTTTGCATTTATGGGGGTGTGCTGGTCTCCTGTCTGTGTTGATCTGTTGATGGCCAGCCATGTCCACACCAGGTGTGTGCCTGCACATGTGTGCCCCTGCCTATTCAGAATACACTCTCAGCCCTTCTACTTACTGACTGGACCTGGGAAGAAAGAAAAATCAGAAACCTTGCATACAGCGGACTGAGATGGAAGGAAACAGCCCAGTCCATCGGCACACTGGATTTGGCAACCGTTAACCTTCTACTTTGCCATATCATAACAACCCCACACAATACGATTAAGATACTATTTTAGCAACTGAATTTGTGGTGCTCCATAAAAAGTTTACGCTATTTTCTATTTAAAAAAAAAATAATAATAATTCAGCTGTACAGACAAGCCATTTGTTCAGTATACCGTGCAGCTTGTTAGGGAAAACCCCACTAAGCTTTCAATAATCACACAGCCTTCGCTCTAAGCGCTTACATTTCTGATACAAAGACAAAAGCAGAAAAAAAACACCTTAAAAAAAGAAAAATCTCTTTGGAGTTTTGTTTCTAACAACAAACACCCCTATTGCACAGCCCTTAATCTCCTCTAAAAATCCTGAAGTATCAAGAAAGGGCAGCTCTCAGTTCTTTTAATTAAATTTAACATAAAGGCTACAACAAAAGGAAAGACGGTTATAGCAGACTTAGGTAAGAAACAGCGAAACTTTACGTATAGCTGAAGAGAGTATTGGGACCTTTAGGAGAGCAGGCTCTTGCAAGATAGTCAACTGAGGTTCGAGATGTTACTATTCTGCATATACTTATCTCACCTCTCTGCTAGAGGTTACTTACCTCACAGTAGCCAGGTAGAAAGGATAGTGTGAAAGTTCCTGATTTGCCTCAATGCAAAAAGAGTCAACCACATTAATTCAAGTTACCTTCAGCAGCAGCCTAAGCCACATTGAAGATCAAGGGTTACAAAATTCTTCCTGCTAGCTAACAGGATGTCTTCTCCCACTAACATTACATCCTAAAGAGATAGTTTATCTACACTCTCAACTATTTACATCATTAAACCATGGCTACTGAATGACGCATCTAACACAATATTCTGAAACTGTAATTATTGTAATTATTTCACATCATTTATGTCTGAAATAGGTATTGTTGACCTTGACAAGCCTGATCCAACAGCCAGTGGAATTCAAGGGAGTGAAGTGGGTTAGCTATACTTCAACTTTACCAAAACCAACCATATTCAGTAAAATTATCCTACACATGTAACAAACAGAAAATAAAATATTCTCTAGGATAGAATTTAAACAGCTACAGATGTGCAGACAGAGAAAACTCACCTACGCATATTTTATAGTTGTAAAAAAAATAAGCACTTACCAGACTGGATGCAGTAACCTCACTATAGAGAAGTCCAAAAGGTACAATGAGGAAGTGTTCCTGCTCAGAATTTACTCTGGCCTAAGGATAAAACAAGAGTAAAAGCTAAGTTAAGAATACTTTAATAAAGCATACAGTAGGCTCCAAAACTAAATCCCACAGTGACATGAAAGTTACTTCTATTTCTCAAGCATGGAATGAGCGAGTATTCCTATAGCATACACAATGCGACTTTCGTGCACGCTATAAGAGATAATTAACCCACAGCACACAATAATTAACCCACATTGAACAGAACCAGACGGTAGGTGCAAGCCAAAGTCCTTCAGGTTGGTGGACAATCGTAATCCTTAGATCTTGTGCTAATGACAACTAGATTACTATGGATAAAATGAATAATGCTGTGTGATGCATGAAAAAAGTTAATGCATTTTAGAAGAACAAATTCATACTCCAATGGTATTTATATCCTAGTAAATACAAAGCATGACATAGAAAAGGCTGTGAGAATTTAAGAATTTAGCCAACAGATTTAAAACATACTGATGCTGAGTAGGGTTCCATCCCCAATGCTGGTGCCATGTGAGATATTTGTAAGCAGTACAGCATACTTGTAGTTTTTCCACCAAGTATCCCACTTCTCACTTAAGTTTTTGCTCTGTAGTCTAGTTCACACATGCAGGGGTTTATAATATGAAAATAAATCTGACTTCAAACTATTTACAGCTTGAGATATACCTGATTCAAGTTTGTACGGTGATAAGTACAGGATGGCCAGGTCATTCAGATAGCTCTTAATGGAGAATTAAAACACTTCAAGTATCTTACTGTACATCTGAGCAAGGCTGTTCTATATTTATTATCTCTAAAGTGAGGAAATGAGCATGTCAGAAGTATGTTTTTCAGAGCTCATGGAAAACCTCTCTTTTGCATGAACGATCAGAAACGGTTTTAGGAAACTCCCTATTTTGCTATTAGTCTACACAATCTTTTTGTCTCTTCTGTTTCCCCAAGATGTGACTGTTTTATGTTACCTCACGTCTGCTACTACTTGCAACTTTACACACATTCTTTGATACAGGTCTAGTGCAGGGAAAAAAAATCTAAAATAAAGAGCCAATTAGCAATCTAAAATCCAAAGCTGCCAATGTTTTGGTTTTTCCATCTCCGATCAGTACTTGAAAATTTTTATCTTTCTTGGATGACACTTACACGGTAAACCCTTCTTTGACATCAATATGTAATTTACTCAATGTACTCAATTGGTAGGCGGTCTTCACTTGTTTAGGAAGTTTACTTAGAGAAACAGTAGTTATCATAATCTTTTGCAAGTCATATATAGCAAAAGGCAAAAATTTTAACAAAGGAGATCTCATCCAAAATTATCAGGCACAGCCTTTCAGCTCCTTTTACACAGACATGATTTCCTCAAAAAGGGAATCAGAAGTTTATTAAAAACAAAATGGTACTGTTGCTCTCTTGCAGCAAACGTATTTCAACTTCTTAGGCTTCAGCCTGCAGACAACCGGTCTCCCTTAGTTTCAGTTCTAGTCATTTCAAAATTAACAATTCACTGTACAATGACAAACAATTTTTGTTTGGAACAATATAATTTAGCTGGTGTAAAAGATAACCACATTTGCGTAACACAAGAGAAATAAACATAGGGCAACATGCTTATTTCATTTTAGTAGTGTATCTTCTGCACATTCTTAAAGTCCTTTTCCCCACTTGTTAAAACATGGGCGGGTAAGTTAACGTTTTCTGAATTCCCAAATGCAAAAAAAGTTTCTGGAGTGCTCAAAAACTTACTAGTACTCCTATTCTTAAAACTTCATCATCTGAAAGGTCAGCTCTAAGCCCCATTTTCTATAATGGATAATGAACAGTATCTTATTGTTAACAATTTCTTTTCCTAGGATCTTCCAAAGAGGACGCTATAATAAACTAACAACTCATTTGGGCCCTAGTGGGGGAAGACTGATGCAGCTTTCTATCTTAGGCTGTATTTGATGTCACCTCCATCTCCTCTGATCTTGCATCTCAATTTCTCCAAGATAAAGTGCTCTCCATGAGAAACATGCCTGTACACAGATTGTATAAACAGCGCAGCCTTTCTTAAGTAGGGCTCCAACTCCAACAACATTCTACGGCTCTGAATATCAGTTACCACAAAGAGATAATTAGGTTTAAGTTCTGCTACTGGATTCACCCGAACAGAAAGGTAACAAAGACCATAGACTTTATAAAGCTTACGTGTTCCACTCGTCCAGGCTGCTAGAACTGAAAATAAAGCCAACCTGTTTCCTAAATCACCGGTGTTTATCCTCCCAGTTTAAGAAACTGCAGGCACTCCCAAAAAAAATCTAGTACAAATCTATCTTCCTTTATGACCAGCTGGTAACACGATACAGCATAAAAGCCTTCAACAAACAGCACCAGTCAGTTCAAGTTAACCTGTACTTTTATGAATCACCAAAATCATTCTCGGTTACAGAAATGTAAGTGATCGACCAAATCCTCTACTTTGTTATGCAAGACAAAGAATAGGTATTATTCAAATGCCCAAAACGAATGAGACTGCTTCAACGTAAGACAAGCAAGCAGCAAGACAGACAAACCACCCTACTTTAGGATTAGATCCAACAAACAGCTCACACCCTCAAAGCAAACCGAGACTCAGTGAACAAAACGTCTTCTGCAAACCTCCAATTTCAAATTCCGCCTAGCCCAAGAGGCATCCAAGTTTACTATACATTATCTTATTTGACTCTAAAGCTCTTGACCCTGTGTAATTTTGTTTCTGTGCCAGGATTGCACCGGTCTGAACAATTCCACACCTAGCAGCTGCTAGCAGTTGCTAAAGACCGGAAAAAGAAAGATCACCTCCCCGAGATGCCCAGACGGACATGTGCTCTCACATCCTTGTAATTCCTTTCTCCTCAAACACACAGGAGAACGCCCCTCACAGAAGAGTATTATATCACTTTTATTATTTAAAATGTATACTGGTAGCATTTCACTTCAATGCAATATCCTAGTGGTTAGAGCAACCACTCATAAACAATGAAAACCTGGAATGAAAACCCAGTTCTGCAAGAAGTTGTAGACATTTGCCATCTTCCAAAAGTGTGCCCTGCTACTACAATATTACGTAATATATGGGCATACAGAACAAAGATAAGACTGTTTTTTAAATATATATACAACCTTGTTCCACATCAATTTCCGAGATTAAATTGCACTTACTACGTTATAGTTGCTTTTCAAAATGGCATTCATCAGAGGGGTTATTAAAAGAAGGCTGAACTACGGCTGGTGATTACCCAGTAACAAACTATTAATCACAAACCTTCCAGTACTACTTTGCCCTTCAAAAGCTGTCTAAAATACTGTTAAAATCTCATACTCCAGGTGCTTTGACCGTGTCAACCACCTCAACTGGTAACACCATTATCCAATCTTCCTATGCTTTCCCCTCATTCCCCTTAAAAGAAAGCCAACTTGATAAATCCCATCCCAATCACGTGGCATTGCTGTAACTACTTCTCTAGGCACACCACTATACAGGAAAAAAACAATCCAGCTCTGTTAAGAAAACAATAGACTGGGTTTTATACCACAGCTGTGACTTTACTCATGAGACTCATGTTGATCATTCTTCTGGCACATAAAACCTCCTTGATTTGACCTCCTTGTCATTATTATTATGGATGCCAGCGATTACTCAGTCACAAGGAAAATAGCTGGAATGCAGCATTAAGCTGAGTAGTGCGCACTCATGTTCAGAGGTACTATGGTTTCTTTTTCGAAAAGGTTAGTAGAGAATTTTCAATAAAATTCAACTCAATGACTAGTAAGAAGGCAATTTAGTACTCTGAAAGAAAACTAAGATATTACCTTACAGAACAAAGTTATTCACTCCATTTAAAATACTAAAAGACTGAGTCTTTCAGTAACCTTAATTTCATCTTGAGAACTCTATGTACACTCTCTTAAGACTCTATTCAGACTAGAGTGGCTGACATCCAAGCTGTTCAGTTCTTACGTTCGAGATGCAATGTCGGATCTCTTGACTATTAACCTGCTTTCAATACTCTTGTTCTTCTCCCACACAATGAGAAAGTGACAGATGGGGGAAGGCAGTAATTCTCTTGTATCTTAAAACAATTGGTTCAGTTATCTGTTGATTCAGTACTCACTGTTATATGATTGTAAATAAGCTGAGACCAGCCAAAGAGATCTGCTAATCTGTAGAAAGCTGCCAATTTACATCGTAACAACTTCTCCCCTTTTTCATAAGCAATTGAATCTGATCCTCTCAGATCATTCACTGGTGTCACCATGCCAAGACCTGAAAAGGAGATGGGGAAAGAAAAGCACATGAGAGTTATGTCCTTAGCCTCTATTCAAACCTAACACCACGTGTCAGTATTATAGGCTGTTCTTACATGCTAATATCAACATATTAACCCAAGAAATGGGCAGCACGTTTTAATAACCATAATGTCATAATCTGTATTGCACAAATGTATGATCACTGAGAAGATAATTTTCTGTGGATATAATCAGAACTAAGTTTCCTTGCTTACTATTCGTTAGTGCCAAGGTAAGAGTGGGCTCTTTAGCAAAATATTTTTTCTCTCTCTCAAACTCGTGATTGCCTTTAAAATACAACTATTGGTTGATACTAGAAAAAAATGTAACCCTAAATATTTCAGGTTTTGAAATAAGTAATGCTGTATTCCTGAAAAGCAGAATTATATATCTAACAGGACAGAATCACAAATGCGTGCACTGAATTAGGAAAAAATAAGCACAGTCTAGAGAGAGGAGGATTATGGTAAAGAATTAAAAATGCTGTCTATCTAACTACAGTGCAATTAGAAATGTGGTTTAGTAAAGCAGAATTATACCATGTAAGTACAGATTCATTTTGGAGCACAGACAGGGATTTCGGTTCTCTGAAGCATACCAAAACCTCTATGTGCAATTCCTTTTTTTGTTTTGGTTATTGATGTTTCTTGTCTATAGCTTTGCTTCACAGAAGACAGTCACAAACAGTACTGCAAAGGCAAAAATAACTAGTTTCTAAAGGCCTCCTCTGTTACTAGACTATTAACAAGTATTTCATTTTCCTCTAAGCCAATCCATTCGATAAAACTTTAGCAGTATTTAAATGTTTGGATTTTCAACTACTGCTCGTTTATCAGGCTTAGTTTTCAATTAAGATATCGTACTTGAAACAGCTGTTGATATAAGTTATGCACACGAGTCACATTGCATGTCACTGGCGTTTAGAAATGAAATCAATTCATTTCATGTTTACAGCCTTCCTGTGAGTAGAACAGGATGATATTTCCAAAAAACAACAAAACACCCGAACGGCTAGTTATACGTTAAGGTGCACTCACTCATGTTTAAGGCAGCCATTCCGCCTTGTGGTGCTGCTGGGTAGACATTTGGTACATTTGTTGTCATGAAATCTGCAATCTGCTGTAAAGCCAATAAGCCTGTTGGGTTCTTTCCTTTCTTAAATTGTTCCTGGATCATAGACTCCAATTCTTCACAAAAAGCCTAGCAACAGGATATTGCATATTGTTAAGCATGATTCAAATGAACTTCAACCCTTCACATACAACTTTTTAGCATTTTGATGGAAACATCTTACACGTCTTCTAAGAAACAGTTCAGGACAGAGTTAATGGGTGCATACTTGGAACTTCAAAGAGCAACGTTTTCAACAATATGAATTTCCCCCCCCCCGCCCCCCTTTAAAGGAAAGTTCCATAAAATCTTTCTTGAAATAATATCACAACTCATCGAACCTACTAATTTGGATTTCGGGAAGAAGGAGCAGGAAAACAGCCCATGTGAAAGAATACAAAATCTGAAACTAAAAGTAGTAGAACCAGAAAAGAGAAGGAACGTTACCAACTTGGGACAGTTATCGACAGGAAAACGAGAGTCAAAAGGGCATCCAGGTACAGAGAGAGGAACAGCCACCAGAGTTTAGAACTACGCCTAAATTAGGAATTTGTTTTCCTCTTTTTTAAAATTAAAAAGGAACGGAAACAAGGAGATTTTTACCATTACTGCTAGCTGCTTTTTTGACAAGAACACTGGAATTTATACTGTAAGAAAAGGTCAAGCAATCACTCCGTAAATCTAAATGAAATGGACTGGTCTCACCTGGCAAACAGTAACTATATCACTGCACCCCTATTCTCAATGAAGGCACGGCACAAAACGTTTTCTATCTCAAGCCACCCACCAGCTATACAAAAGGAATAAATGTCACAAGAACAGTTTTGTTTTGCTTCTTTTCTCCCTCAGGGAAACTTCTGTACTACCAAACTGCAATCACTCACAGTGTGTTATCGTTGACCGATTAAACAGAGAATTCTGAAAACAAGAGTGAGGCTCTGCTTGATGAGTAGACATTAAAATTCAACCAAGACAACACGAAAAAATTATACTACAAATGAATACCTGAATAGAAAGGCCAACTAGGCAAGTCAAATGGGTTTAAGACATAATACAATTCTCTAGTTCCACAGAAACATTCAAAAAATAGAGAGAGATGATATTTAACACTGTAAAAATGCAGCATTTTCTTTTCTTACTGGGCTTTGAAGAATCATGGAGACTCTCTTCTTCTGTTCCATCATGTTAAAATCCTGGCGAAGGTCAGGTGCCATATTCCTCTCTCTCAGATAATCTGGGTTATTTTCATCAACGCGATCAAAATATCTCTCTTTATGAGGGGCTGTTGTTGGAGGTGGTGGGGTCACCACCGCTGCACCAGAATCACCATTCATAGCACAGCTCTAAGGATCCTATGGAGGTGGAGGGGAGGGGAACAAACGAGATGAAATTATAATTCAGAAACTTCATTTGTGTTTCTTATTTCAGAAGAGTGAGCGTTCTAGTCCACTACAATTAGCACGGCTCACCAAACACAGAAGTCGTACTTGTGCAGCTGGTTAGCATTTTTTTTGGAAGGAGAAATACAACATTTTTAAAATACAAGATTAAATAGTAGGTGATTATATATGCAAAAACATCTATACCACATACACGCTGCACAAAACTGCTATAAAAGCTCTCATTTAA